TGAATATCCAGACTGATAAATGTTTAGACCAAGTGTCATTAAAAAGGAGGAAAAAGAGAATGGGTGCTATTCCAAAGCAGTAAATGGGGATGCACAGTATCACCTGACTGTAATGGCAGCTGAAAGGAACACTCAGCAGTGTGGGTTGACCAGCGGGTAAATGCCTCTTACCCTGGCTTCCCTTCTCTTCACTGAGTCCAGACAGTGTTTAAACACTTGGCTGTCAATACAGAGTTAAAGAACATTAAACTAGATAAATTACTCTTTTGCCTTGAGTTAGACTGTAAAGCCACTTCAGACAACCAAATGTTAACACTTAGTTTTTGGTTGAATATATATGCTACTGTGAAAAACATTTTGAACACTTGTGTATAGTATTTCCTCACACAGACCTCAAAAATGTCAATATCAAATATAATATAAATGTCATATTAATTATGTCTTTTACTAAAAGTCCTCCACAGCACATGCCACATATTTTCTAGCTACAGTAGATATTCAACCTAGGACAAAAGTCAAAACACGTTCAGGTAACACAGTAACACAGCCTTACTTAGATTAATAAATCTGGGGCCATTTTGGAACTCCTAATCCCTTACACTACTTGTTACTGTTTGTTTTTTTTCTTTTAATTAAAAAAAATATTACTGTAACACATTAAGTAGTAAAAGTGTGTTTTATTACTGTGTTATGCCCAATACTGCTACTCAGAACCTTGATTTGCTCATGGTGATTTTTGAAGATTATTTTTAATTGTTTATTGTTGAATTAGTCATATTGTAATTTTGAAACCTAGTTCAGAAATGTGCATGCATATATTTGATGTCATGATGTATTTTCTCACTTTATGACACAAACTGAGTCATTTCTTAAGTAACCATGGTAGCATATTACCAGCATCTTCCATCATCCATCTATTATCTATACCACATATTCCTAAACAGGGTCGCGGGGGGCTGGAGCCAAGCCCAGCTGACACTGGGTGAGAGGCGGGGTCCACCCTGGACAGGTCACCAGTCTATCACAGGCCTGACATGTAGACAAACAACCACACTCACATTCACTCCTAGTGGCAATTTAGAGTCACCAGTCAACCTAAGCTGCATGTCTTTGGACTGTGGAAAGAAGCCGGAGAGAACCCATCCAAGCACAGGGATAACATGCAGACTCTGCACAGAAAGGCATCGGGTCAGCCCAGGCTTGAACCATGAACCTTTATGCTGGGAGGTGACAGAGCTAACCACTGAATCATAGCTGAGTTAAGTTAGTTTATAGAACCAGTATGGGGCAACTCCCTACCTCTCTCCCCCACACAAATTAACACATGGACTGCTACTTTTGAGAAACAATTTTATTTACACACTGTTCAAGACATGTTTGTATTGAGGCATTCTGATCTGATGAAGAATATATTATTCAAATGCTCCACCCTAAACAGCTGTTCATCATGACAATCAGTGTAAGTTGCACCTGCTTCCTCTTAGGGATTTTTTGAGCTGGTCTGGTTAATTAGTTTGTTCATTCGTTTCACAAGTGTCCATGGTTGAATTAAGGAGTGAGTACTTGAATATGTCCTGTAAAAAAACTACTATTACATTAATATATTCAACATTTAACAACATAACAGCTCTGGAGAACAAAGTCAGCCATACTCTATAGCAGCTAAAAATCCAGATATTATTTTCAGGAGTTGATGAAGACCTAGCAACAATAATCAGGTTAAATCCCCTGATCATTGTTTTACTGGCCAAAAAGACAATGAAAGGTTATACTGCCTTGTGCCTTTTGGATGTCAGAGTAATTGTTTGTTAACGCACAAACAAGTTTCAAAGTCCATTGCATGACAGGTAAAGACTGATATACATACATACATGTGAACCTTAAAAAGACATGGCTTCAACAACTACCCGGAGAGCCCTGTGTTTACAGCAGCATTTTACACTGACAAAATTCATCATCATTCTCCAAAAACACACTGAGACTTGGTTACAAACTGACCACATCGAGTCGCCTGTTGTTTCTCATTCTGTAAAAAAATCCAAGAATGCATCATGTATTCTTGGCACACACTAAAGTTTAATACATTAAAGGACGTTCTAGTGCCATTTCACTTGTGCACCTGAAACGACTCGTATTATTATAATTTCAACCATTAGGTCTAATACAACTGGACTTTGTAAGAATCATAGTACATTTTTTTCATAAGATTCACACGAGCCAACAGGGACAAACTCTTCATGATTTTCATCCATCAAATTATTTTGATTTCTAGTGTATAATACAAATCATAGCCTGCTAGCTATGGTTTTAGTTTTTATTTTCATGTTTTCAGTCCAAAAGCATTTTATTACCAGAGGTATGTGTGTAGATCTTTGTCTTCCTCCAGCATACATGGAAGTGTGTTGCTTTCTCAGTAATAAACATTTTCCTAAACTGTTGGCTGATTTCATTCTGTCACTGGAACAGGGCAAATGATTAGTGGAGCCCCATTTCTTCCTGATTTATTAGTACAGGGGCTGAAGAATGGACGGATAGTTTGAGGAAAACTAGCTGTGAATGTGTAGATGAGCGCTCTGGCCTCCACGTTGTAGAAAGACACCAGCCCCTTATCACAGTCCACAAAGATTCCAATCCGCGAGGGTCTCAGGTTGACTGTCAGTTTAGTTGAGGGTTCTGTTCGGAAGGTATAGTCGGTCCCATCCCGCAGGCTCAGAAACCAGTAACCATGCGCAGGACTTACATTGATTTTGCCTTTACGATTGACAGAATGGCTTGCTATGCCCAAGTCCCAGTCAGTCTTTTCTCCCACCTCTACCTGGAAGAGAGGAATGTGGTTTAGTTTACAGCAATGAGTGCAAACTTTCCACCTAACGTTAGACCTAGAGTAAGGTCATATATAGGCTTCATGTTGTTCTTGTATTAAATGCAGGACATGAGATAATGAAAGTGTCAAGACGATGGAATTTCTTTCATTTGGCCGCATACTGTAGTTTACAATCTCTTGCAAATTTGAATCTGTTCACGTAGCTGTTCAGTATTTTAGGCAGCTATACAACACTTATGTGCTTCCTTAAAGAACACTAGGCATCAAATCATTCACAAAAAATAAACAGAGTTAAATAATTCTGAAAACCAAAAATAGATTCATTTCTAAATAAGAGCTATTTTATCAATGAAGAAATGGTCTGTGATGTTATCTGATCTAATGTAGTCTTAACCATGCTTGTGGTGATTTTTTGAATCGATAAAAAGAATGCCAGAAAACATATACTGTAACTTCTTTATGGAATATTCACATACTGCTTGGATGCATTTCACTTTATCCTATTGTATAACTATATACTTGTGTTTCCCTGGTCTGACAGCAGAGGGTGCAAGCTACGTTAGAAAATTACTACCCAAGTCAGCAGACAGGATTTTCAGTACTGTGATGATAGCATTGCTTGAGTTTTTGTAATGTCATGTAAAGCAGCTGGCCTTCACTACTGGCAGTGGTGGAAAAAGTACTCAGATCCTTTATGTAAATAAGAGTACAAAAGTATTGGCATCAAAACATGCTTAAAGTACTAAAAATAAAAGTCATCATTATACAGAATAGCACATTTCAATTGAATATATATCATATTACTGTACTATAACTACTGTTACATTACTGTGCACATCACATTCAGTGTTGCAGCTGGTTTTAACTGGCTTATATATTTTTAATTTGAATTATTGCTGGGTAGCTTGTGAACTTTCCACTTTCAATGAATTATTATGATTACTGTATTTTTGTATTAATATGGTTCTGAAAAGTAACTAGTAGCTAAAGTTATAAAATAAATATAATGGTGTACAAATATGTGCCTCTAAATTGTAGTGAAGTCAATGTATGAAGTATAGATACCTCAAAATTGTACTTAGGTACAGTAATTGAGTAAATGTACATTAGTTACTTTCCACCACTGACTACTGGTTCACCAGCTCAGCAAATACAGATGAACATATGCTGATTACACAAATGGTGAAAATCTGATCTGATCTTTTACATTCTTAAGCCTCAAATGTTGTGAACATTTTTGGAGATGTGTGTGCTGATGCTCAGTGTTGGGGAGTAGTGAACTACATGGAATTAAGATAGTAGTGCAACTACATTCTGTAGTGGCTTGCTGATAACTCAACTACAGTTATATTTGCATAGTGATTCAAGTAGTAGTTGCAGTAATAATAATAATAATAATGCTTTACTATATTGGCAGCATGGTGGTGCGGTGGTTAGCTCTGTCACCTCCCAGCATGAAAGTTCAGGGTTAAACCCTCGGCTGACCCAGGCCCTTTCTGTGCGGAGTTTGCATGTTCTCCCTGCTTCGCTGAGTTTAAAATAACTCCACAAGTCCCACAGTTCAAAGACACGCAGCTTAGGTTTGACTGGCGACTCTAAGTCACTCATAGGAGTGAGTGTGAGTGTGTGTGGTTGTTTATCTATATGTCCTGTGATAGACTGGCGACCTGTCCAGGGTGGATAATAGATGGATGGATGCTGTAGTCAGATAAGACAACAAAAATATAAAAATTCCTTTTGTAAAGCCCACATTGCTTAAAGTAGTTTGAACAACTTTGTCTCAGTAGCTTTAATTAATCAAACTAGATTTCACCCTAGGGTAGCTTTGCTGTAGTTCAGCTTCATCTAGTGTGAAGTAACTGGCAGCTTGAAAACTATGCTTTCAAAGTAGCTTCCCCAACTCTGCTGATGTTATCCCTCACACACTGATGCAAGCCTGCACTTTTCTTAAATACAAATAATAAGAGCTGTATCATTTAAACAGTTGCACAGCTTCAAAATGTGTCCACCTACCTCCCAGTAATGTTGTCCGATGCTGAAGCCCTGGCGGGCCAGCACACACACCACCCGGTCAAAGCGCTCTGGGTTGTCCGGCACCTGCTGATGGCGCTCACCACAGTGCACCTGTTTCCCGTCTACTGAGATGATGAGACGTGGGTGTGATGTGTAGGGGTCTAAAGTGATGTCGGCTGTCAGATTGAGAGAGAGAGTGATGTCTGGTGGTTAAACTAATCAATTGAAGAGTTACATTGAAAACTGAATGTAAATAACAACAGACTACAAAAACAGAAATGTTTTGAAAGACTCACCTGCATATTCTTGAATCCTCCTTATCTCTGTAGAGAAAAAATTATACATTTTCAAAATAAGTGTATACTTTTATATATTTTAAAGAAGCATTATTTTATTTTCATTGTGACACATCCAACGAAATTTTGTTTGGAGCTGAGGGGCCCTGGGCCGCTGCGTGCATATGCGCCACCATCACGGGCAATTTGTGGGGTTCAGTGTTTTGGCTAAGGACACTTTGACATATGGACTACAGGCACCAAGATTTGAACCTGGTTGGGAGACAACTGCTCTGCCCACTGTACCACTGTCGCCCCCCTTGATGATTAATTTAACGGAACTGGATCAGAAATAAACTTAAAATAAACAGCATTTTGTGCCGTTAGCAAATTAGAACCTTACTTGGATTGGGCCTGGCTACTGATTGGTCCAGCAAGGATCTCTGGCCTGTTAATACAAGAAGAGAATGCTTCTTTTAGACCATCCTACTAATCTTGTACACTTCAGCCTTTATTATTGAACATAGAATCATCAGAACATAGCAACAGAAAGGCAAGAGACTTAGTTCAAATAAATGTAATATTTGTCCTTTGCCACAGTAGCAAAAATCCACCAGTACAGGTCAGTTTGGTTGTAAAGGCTTGACGGGATATTATTGAATCATTTTCAATCTTGATTACAAGTTGCAGTTTTGGAGGATGTTTTAATTTTACACCTGTAGAATGTTTCCCTTAAATTCAACATCTTTACTGGACTATCCAGTTTCACAGTCGGTCTGAATGAAGACTTACAGACTTCAGGCAGTTTTTGCATCTCTCCCTGAAGGTGCTCCATTACTTGATTGAGAGTCCTGAGAATCATGCCTGAGGTCAGCTCAGATGACACAAAGACACCAGACCAGTCCTTAGCTTGTGGAAGGATGGACAGGGCAGGGAATGTCTGCAGAAAGAGAGAAAAAATACATAAGTTTTTTAATAACAAACTGATTTCCAATATTTGTTGTTGATTGTAATTATGTTTGTCATTTGCTCTAAGTGATGCTTTATTATTAAACAAATTCTTAATATTGGATCTGGTCCAGTTGATGCAAAAAGGCCTCATGCCCACAGTCCCAGGACTCCCAGGTACACTGCTTTACTAATTACTCTGTAAAACCTTAGTGCTTACATGTCAATCATGAAGTTTGGTACACTTGTGAACAAGAAGTAAGGAAACCACTGGGCACTGATTGTTACATATACTCCAGTCAGTCACTATGTTTCTAAATTTAATGACAGTATTGAAACAATGGATAGCATAATGGATTAATTACTGGGTACATAACTACATACATTACACAGTATTTGTTATTCTTTATTTTTGTATTATCCTGTTGTTTTGTCCTGATGCACTCACTCATCCATACCTTGAGAAAGAGTACGTAGTCTTCAGACACAGCCAGCTGGTTCATTTCTGCACTTCTCTTTTTCAGCTCAGCTAGCTCCTCCTCCAGCTCCCTCAGCACACTCTGAGCTCTTTGCTCAGCCACTCGACGGTTCATCTCTATCATCTGGGGGGTTACAGGAAGCATATGCCGTGCTTAGCTAATCCACCTCAAAATCTTGGACTTTGCGCTTTCACTTTAGTGAAAACAGAAAAAGTTCCCTCCCTCTATCCAGTGCCAGTGTTATTTACCTCTAAGACTTCAGCTTGGCAGTGCTCTACAGTGGAGATCAGCTTGGAAAACACACAAACAGCTCCATCTGTCTCTCTCTCAGCTGCAGCCTGAGTAGAAGATGAACAGTAACAGATGTGGGTTTAAACAGTGTTTAATGTCACCCACCGGAAGTCTGTAAAACTGACAAGTTTGATGAACTCCTGGGGAAATTGTGGGGCAGACGAAGGATACGTTCATTTTTGTTACAAAATCAAATGATCAAGTGATATTTTTATGTGATTTAATTTAAAGTCAACATGTGGTGTAACAATTACCTAAGCTTCACTATGTTTTAATAGCAACAAAAAGTAGGTCCACATTATCGTCTTTAATACAGTTTTTCAGTGATACATGTGAGCCTTGTGGTAAACGTTGCTTGCCTTAGTTGGCCACCACTGTACCACACAAAAATGAACGTATCCTTCGTCTGCCCCACAATTTCCCCAGGAGTTCATCAAACTTGTCAGTTTTACAGACTTCCGGTGGGTGACATTAAACACTGTTTAAACCCACATCTGTTACTGTTCATCTTCTACTCAGGCTGCAGCTGAGAGAGAGACAGATGGAGCTGTTTGTGTGTTTTCCAAGCTGATCTCCACTGTAGAGCACTGCCAAGCTGAAGTCTTAGAGGTAAATAACACTGGCACTGGATATTTACAAGTGAGGGACAAACCACTGATACGGTGTCTTGGGAGGCAGGTGAGTTTTAATCGGGAGGCCTGCCATTTCTAGCAGCACCAGCATATCAACGGACCTAACAATCAACATAAAATCACTTCCATTTAGTTCAAATGTAAAATGTACACTACATACGTATGTAGGTTCTTTCTCTGTCTCTAAAGTCAAGACAAGCCCTGAGAATGTGTAAAATGTTTGATCAACAAAATCAAATGATCAAGTGATATTTCACATTATCATCTTTAATACAGTTTTTCAGTGATACATGTGAGCCTTGTGGTAAACGTTGCTTGCCTTAGTTGGCCACCACTGTACCACACTGCCAGATATATTCAGGATCCTGCAGAATGCCAGATGGTTGATAGTAAGTTTGCTCTGTTCAGAGTGTACTGATACACTTCAAACAGCCTGATCTCCTCTCTAGTTGTCAGGATGGGCATTCAGGCATGAATCAGAGTGCTAATTCTTACCTGTCTCTACAAACGTAAACTAGGACTGAACCTGAAGACTACCTCAGTGCAGACTGAAAACTCACCTGTATCTGTTGTAAGGAGTTTTTTATTTCCTCCACTTTCCTCTCTCTCTCACAGATGAGGTCTTTCATCTCTACCTCAGTAATTCCTAACTGGGACTGGAGAAGATAAAAAACACAGTTTTGGTTAGGCTTCACGTAACAGTGTCTATGTTTGATCCACGAGGCAGGCTTTAGGCCTACTAGCCAGCTAAAATAAAGAGGAGTTTTGGCTGGTTTGTTAGGGTGATAATCAAGACAGCAGATACTGGATGATTGTTGTTAGATTGCTGTTGTTAGTTACTGATTGTTGTTTGAAGGGGTTGACAGAGTATCAAGTAGATACTGTTGAAGGGTTGTGCTGGGTGTGTGGGTGTGGGTGTGTGTTCTGGTCCTGGGAAGCCAGAAGACACTGTTGAGCTTTCTCAGTGTTGTGGGCCCAACTCAATGAAAAACCAGTTAGTGAGAGGGGGCCTATCTGATGACCCTGTAGACTTTCCTTCACTCCAACCCCCACACAGAACTTTTATTGGTGTGGGTGATAATATAGTTACAGACTCACTGGAATTGTTAATAGTCTTCTTCTGTTAGACAATCTTGGTAGAACAGTGTCAGTAGTTGGACAGTTGAGCTCAGAGGTGACTGCTATTACAAGCCAGTTGGACCAGCTACTGCTTAACCCGAGCTAACACAATGCAGGTGCTGTGTGTCAAGCCACATATCTGTTCTTTGCTTGAGTGAGGATAGGGTTCAGTGACGCTTTGTGTTAAGGGTAGGTTAGGTCTGGAAAATGGTGTTGCTTATTGTGGGGTTCTGAAGATACAGTATAAGTCAGCATGGCCTGACACCCCCCTCTTTGGGGTCAAATAATGGGTCAACATCATTTAATTTGTATACCGAGCCTCCATCTGAATGCTCTCCCATTACATGGCACATTTAATTGTGTATTATCAACTATATTGTATAACCACTACAAAGCTTGTCCTAACCCTGAAGCCTATGCTCACACAAGTCTATGGGATATACAAGCTTTTCGACATTAGAATCTCCATGGTGACAAAAATAATGGGGAATTAATGATAAAAGATATCCATAGGCAGGGTTCCTGATTTAGTTGGGTACCCAAAGTTTTGTTTATGCCATCTTTTCTGCATTTTTTAAGTTCATGAAGTATTTGTTACATTCAACAACATATGGAATTTGCCTAAGGGGCCAAAACCTTTGTACATGTTTGTACCTTCTTGATGTGCCATTCCCTCTTGGCAGGAATGACACTGTGTCCTCGATGCTCTGCTGTCTCCACACAGGAGCTGCACACACAGATGTTGTCAGTACGACAGAAGTACTCCAGACCTCTCAGGTGGATGGGACACAGGGGCAGATTGGAGGAAGATTCACTTGGACCACTTAGAGTGTACCTGTTGTACCATTAAATGAAAGTCATGACACTGGCATTGAAGTTGATTTCTTCAAATAGAACAGAGCTTTTGCTGTGTAAACATTTGTGTTTCCTATTCTAAGTACATGGTTATTCTTGTTTGTTTACACTGGAACCAGAAATGTATGTATTGTACGTGCATTGTATGAAGTACAAAACAGGATATCAACACTAATTACATCTTAAATGACTTAAATGGCTTCACAACAAGCTGAAGATTATACACACACATTTCATACATAGTATTATGGCCTTTTAATGTTTTATAGTTACCGAGTCAGGAAACAGTTGCCATGTTACACATCTAAAAACACAAAGCACCAACAGTAAGGTCTAGACCTTACTCTGTAAAGTGTCCTGAGATGACTTTTGTTGTGATTTGGCGCTATACAAATAAAATTTGATTTGATTTGATTTGAAAGCATTATTAGCATTCAGTTGTGTTTCTGACAACCTAGACTAGTCCACTAGTCACTATCCTGTTATCTCTGTTTGGGAGCTATGGACTGAAACAGTAATGCTGCAGCTGAAAGATAAAATGTTTTAATGTCACACTGCACAACCAGGAGACAAGAGACTAAGTTTGCCACTGCACGTGATCCCTTACACATTCCACATATTCATTTGACTACTGTTCACGTAAAACTAGAGCTGCTTTAAAGCTCAGCGTTTACACTCATGTTGTGAACCTGAATAAATCAAATCAGATCAAACATTGTCATTTGTTGTAGATACAAGTAGTGCAGGCAAAATGAGAGAGCATTTCTTCAGGATCCAGAATAAATATAACACACACATCCCTAAAACAAATCAGTAAATTAACATTAAAATAACAATGCAATTAAACGATCACATTAATAAAGTGTCAAGTTTAATTGGCTTATGATTTAAAGTGTTCAGTCAGTGTGACTGCCATTAAGGTGCACTAGGAGTGCATGTTCCAGATCAACCGTTCAGCAATCTAACCGCTTGTGGAAGGAAACTGTTAAGCAGCCTGGTAGTTCTGCTTTTAGCATTGGTGCATTTTGCCTGATGGCAGCCTTTCAATAGGTTTGTGCTGGGAATGTGAGGGCTCTCTGACAATGTTCAGTGCCCTATTCCTACATCGGCTTAAATACAGTATCTCAGGCCCACATCAAGCTGTGAGTATATGTGGTGGCCACAAATGAAACACACCAAAAATTAAACCTAATACAGCAAAATGAATGAGAGAAAAATCAAATTAGCTCAGAAACATTTTGGGTGATGTTTTCCTTGTGCCTGCGTGGGTTCTCTCCGGGTACTCCAGCTTCATCCCACAGTTCAAACACATGCAGCTTAGGTTGACTGGTGACTCTAAATTGCCCATAGGAGTGAATGTGAGTGTGTGGTTATTTGTCTATAAGTGTCCGCCCTGTGATAGATTGGTGACCTGTCCAGGATGCACCCTGCCTCTCATCCAGTGTCAGCTGGGATTGGCTCCAGTGCCCTCTGCAGGAAAAGCACTATAGCTAATAAATGAATGGCTGGAGGTTTTAGGTGAAGAGCCTATGGGAAGGATATGAAAGTTTCTAACGTTTGTGACTCTTAGTGGCAGTATCAAATGCAGCAACATCAACATTTCCCCCGCAAACATTTCTCTTAAAATGTTAACAAAATTTTTTTTTATGTAATTATATATAAAACTAAAGTAATGGTGTTGTTCCAATACTTTGGGCCTTAGAATATAAAAGTTACCAAACTGAAATTCCTTGTGGATATTACTCATGTCCAGTAAATGAAATCTTAATGCTTTTAACCTCCCACCTTTCCTCTTTTCACCATGAGGTCAAAGTTTCCACTTGTACACAAGCAATATTAAAACCTAATGTAATCAGTTTTGGTTGTTTGTCTGTGTGTTAGCCCTGCGATGGACTGGCGACCTGTCCAGGGTGTACCCCGCCTTTTGCCCACAGCTGGCTGGGATTGGCTCTAGCCCCCCGTGACCCCGTTTGGGACTAGGCGGTTTAGAAAATGGATGGATGGATGGATGTAATCAGTGTTTGAAATGTGCTGCTCACATTCAGGTTTCACCTAAGCAGTAGTGCTACCCTGACAAAAAATGATATATTTGACACCCATTAATGAACCTATGGCATGCGTTTCCTTGTTTTTTGACTTGTTTACAATGTTACAACGGCAAATTCTCTTCTTAGACATGACCTAAGGAGAAATTCTAATAATTAATGCTGTCACAGTTCATTGTGCTGTCCACTTGCAACACAACACTGGCAGCAGGAGTTGCGTGCGTTCACGAAGTATCCTCTCGTTTTTAGGAAGAGGCTTTTTGGCTCTCTGATTCTGAAACAATTACAAACTCTTATAAGGGGTCTCAAGCTAATCTAGAGGTACCCAAGGTTAAACATGTCTGTGCAGATTCTCAGTCATCCAGGTCATAGTAAACTGCTGAAAAAACTTAGAAAAAATCAACTGGACTTAGATTTCTAGGTTGAAGATGTTTCACCTCTCAGTCCAGTTGATTTTTTCTAAGTTTTTTCAGCTTGCCATGGACACTTTAAAAGTAATAGTTGAAAATTTGATAAATGATCTGTTCTGTCGGGCCTTAAGTATCCTCTCGTTTTTAGGAAGAGGCTTTTTGGCTCTCTGATTCTGAAACAATTACAAACTATTATAAGGGGTCTCAAGCTAATCTAGAGGTACCCAAGGTTAAACATGTCTGTGCAGATTCTCAGTCATCCAGGTCATAGTAAACTGAAAAAAACAATGTTCCCTATGGAGCCTGATCTAAGTCCAGTTGATTTTTTCTAAGTTTTTTCAGCTTGCCATGGACACTTTAAAAGTAATAGTTGAAAATTTGATAAATGATCTGTTCTGTCGGGCCTTTTCATACAGGCTCCATAGGGAACATTGGCAAGCTCCCACATTCCACTTTTGGAACACAAGACCATAAACTCATTCATGTTTCTTATAGCATTATTATGCTACATTTACTCAGTCCCATCTCTTAGATGTTTAGTATTATCCTTTTCATGTTGTATTAAAGATGTGGTTGAATGAAACCCATTTGAATTTAGTCCAGGGAGTAGAGTTTGGTACCTGCGGGAAGGTAAGTAGGGTGGAGGTAGGTCGTCCTGCTCACTGGTCTGATTCTGGAAGGCCACAGAAGCAGTGACCTGATTGGGACATTGAAGCTGTGGGTCAGTGGGACGGGGTTGTGTGGTGCGAGGCGAGCCGGGGGTCTGCAGCTGCTGAAAACGGGACTTCAACTCAGTAAAGATGCTCTCTGGCATCTCCCCTTGTCTTGGGATCAGAGGCGAATGTGAGTTGGAATTCTTCCCTGCACCTCCATCATGTCTTACATCAGCACTGGACATCTGCTTGAACTGCTCAGTGATTTCCTTCAGAGTTCTGTTGATATGGAGCTCGGGTCGCTTGCGGAAGGTCTCCTTGCAGAGGGGACACTGGTAAGACTTTGCAGCCCCTCCATCTCCGTTCCAGTAGGAGGAGATGCAGGCCTGACAGAAGCTGTGGCCGCATGGTGTTGAGACTGGGTTGTTGAACACCTCCAGACAGATGGAGCAGGTGAATTGGTCTTCAGACAGAAAAGCTGCAGGCAGCGCCATAGTCATCCAGTGTTAAACTGTAAGAGATGTTGTTTCCATTAGAAAGAAATTAGGGTTGCACAGATTATAATTTTCTTGACTTATTCCGATTTCTGTTTTTTTAAAGTCTCACCTGCCAATTTCAATTCTGGCCAATTCCAATTTTCTTTCTTTCTCAGAAACTGTCATTGACAGTTTACACAGACATTTTTGTAAGTTTTCTTTAATGCCAAATTACATTGTAATACAAATAAAAGGTATTATAGTTTTACATTTTCCATTTTTCTCTTGCTCTTTTTTATAGATCTAACTAAAAATGAAATGCAATATTTGTATTTCTTCAAATATAATATTCTTCTGTTTCTGTTACCTAATAGAAACAGAGGAATGTCTGTTACTACTGAACACACAGTTCTATTTGAAGTGTGTGTAGTTTGTATAACCAGAGGTTGGATACACTGTGCATATACATGCATGTCATGCATAGCCAGTAATTCCTTGCTCATGTACTATTTGTCTGAGATGTGGAAATAGTTTCCCTGCTCCAAAGTGTTTCTGTAAGCTCATGCACTTCACATGCCACATGCACTTCAAGCCTTGCTTGAAGTGCATGTGGGATGCTATGTGCCACACATGCTGTGCTTTTGGTCTGTGCCACTGTGTCAGTGATGTGGACCGTCCTACTTCTAAATTTATTTGGCATAGAATAAAATAATGTAAATCTGTTTTTAAGAATTACTTATTACCCACAACTGGGAGATGACAGTAACGCTGGATGTGACATACTCATTAAAGTAGCATTTTAATGAGTACAGTACAGTAAAGTACAGTTGCCCTGTAGCACTCACACCCATCGTCATGAAGTGCTTCGAGTGCCTGGTCCTGGCACACCTGATGACCTGTCTCCCACCCACACTGGACCCCCACCAATTTGCCTACCGCAGGAATAGGAGCATAGAGGATGCAGTATCCATAGCACTGCACTCTGCACTCAAGACACCTGGACAACAACACTTATGCAAGAATGCTGTTCGTGGACATCAGCTCAGCATTTAACACGGTCATCCCCTCCAAGTTAACCACCAAACTTGGCAAACTGGGCATCAGCACCTTCGTCTGCAACTGGATTCTGGACTTTCTGACCAAAAGGCCTCAGCATGTTAGGTCAGACAACACTTGCTCCTCCATCATTATCCTCAACACCGGTGTACCACAGGGCTGTGTGCTGAGCCCTGTACTGTACTTGTGGGAGGATCTGGATTTTCAGTTAACTGTCTTTGCTGATCACACCATCATCAAGTTTGCAGATGACAACACGGTGATCGGCCTCATCAGCGACAACGATGAGTCAGCCTATAGGGAGGGGGTACAGGACCTGGCTGG